GGGGGGGCCGAAAGAATGGGCAGGAAGGAAGTAATGATTCCAAAGACCTCGACGAGAAATATACCGTGTTTACGCCGGGCTCTTGGGGGTCCCATCCCATACACCCTGCCGCACCAGCCCGATCGCCGTTGCACTTCCCGCTTCGAAAGATTCCCAAGTTTGCTCGTAGAAAATGATGCTGGCCAAAGAAATAAAGAGATTTCAAATAAAGCTTCAAACCGCTAGAATCAAGACCCGCCCGCAACTCTAGAGGAGAGCATATGAGAGGGAGAGATAGCTTGCCAAAGCAAAGCCCCGCGAGGGGTCGCTATCGAGACTAACGGCGCACCCCGCCGCCATAGTATCTATCCCGCAAGTTGTTCCCCTGAAGCGAGTCGAAGGCTGGCCCAAAACCGGCGGTGCCGGCCGATGACCGCGCCACACCGCCGCTCATGTTGTACGAAGGCGCGCCGAGTCCAAGCGAGGCGTGGCCCGAGCCGTCTAGGCCCATGTTCTCAAACAATGCCGCACTGCCGGCATCGAAACTATGGAATGGCTGCATGCTGGCTGTCACGCTTCCCTGGCTCTGTTGCGTCTGGGGTTGTTGCTGCTGGCGGGCGGCTGTGGCACCAAAGGAGGGCGTTCTGGTCGGCGTGTATGCGTTGATGGATGGGGAAGCTGATGCCTGAGTCCGCTGCTGTGAGTTGAACTGGGCGCTGTACCCCATGGTTGCGTTGTTGGCTGTCCTATAGCCGCTATCGCTTGCCGAGGCCTGAGTCACCAGCACAGGGGAGTTGGTCGCAACAACCTGCTGCTGATGGCGCTGTTGCGAAGCTGGATACTGCTGCTGTTGCTGCTGCTGCGGCGGCTGCTGCTGCTGCGGCTGCTGTGTTTGAGCCACAGGATACGATGCTTGAGGCTGATAGCTCGTCGAATACTTTGGCTGCTGCTGCTGCTGCGACTGCGGCTGTGTTTGCTGGACCTGCTGCTGTGGAGGCGTGGCGGAATAGTGTTGGTGAGTTTGCTGGGAAGGGAACTGTGTCGCATGCTGCTGCGTTTGCTGAGCGGGAAACTGTGCCGTGTGTTGTTGAGTTTGCGGCTGTTGTTGTGTCTGAGACGGCTGCTGCTGCTGCTGTGGTTGTTGTTGCTGTTGTTGCTGCTGTTGCTGCTGCTGCTGCTGCTGCTGCTGCTGCTGCTGCTGCTGTTGCGTTTGCGGCGAGTGTTGGCCGTAGGAGGCCGAGCCGTTGCCGACCTGGGTGAAGTACGACTGTGAAGTATTACGCGAGGGCTGCCGTTGCTGTTGGGGGGCTTGAACGGATCCCGACATTTGTGCCGAGGCCATATGCTGCTGCTGTTGTTGTGATGGCGGCGGTTGGTGCTGCTGCTGCTGCTGGGGGTGGGGTGAGGCCGACTGCTGCTGTTGCTGCCGCTGATCTTGTTGACGACCAGCCATACCCTGCAGCTGACTGCTCTGCTGCTGGCCTTGTGCCCGCAGCTGTGGAAGCATTGACTGTATCTGAGTTTCCTCTTGCCTCCGCACGGTTTCCGTTTCCTGTTCTAGCTGCGACTGAAGAGCTTCAAAGGTCTCCCTATCAAAATGGCCATCGCTTGCTTCGGACGTGGCATCGTTTGCTGAAGCATGGGCGGCAACTGTCGGCTCGGGTATGCTTGCGGGCTCCTTGGTCTTACGCTGACGTTTCGCCGGTGGCTGGGCCAGAACCGGCGCAGTCCCAGAGCCCGGCTGCGCATAGCCGTTAGGGAGAGGAGATCGTTGGGTTCGCCCTGGGTTCGAGCCAGGTTGTAGATCTTGAGTCCCGTCCGTCGTGGCCTTGGCCACGTTGCGCTTCCGTTTGGTTGCCGGTGTTGCGCTTGCTGCGGTGGGCTGCGGTGGTGGTGCAAGATTCGCAGGTGTGAATGATGTAGACTGTTCACCAGGCATGCTGCTGGTATCGTTGTACGACTGCAGCGCCGCCAGGGCGAACTCGACACCGGATGGCGCCGACTCGTCCTGGCCACTACCGTTAATTCCAGGCTGAGGCCCGCCGTCGGTCTGCGCCGCCGCCGCTGCTGCCGCCGCTTTGCTCTTTTTCCCCTTGGATTTCGTCTTCGGCGCAGGGGTCTGAGAGCCCCACTCGCCTCCTGCCTGCTCCGCGCCTTCGGGAGCGGGCTCCTTGGGCCGGTTCTTGGACCCCTTTGGTCGCCCCCTCTTTTTCGGAACGTATGGGGGATGTTCACCTAGGGGCAGTGAAATATCCTGCGACATGGACCCAGCTGCTGCTGTCGCGTCCATGGTGCTTTCGTCCATGTCAACCCAGCTTCCGTCTACATCGCCGGGATTCTGCTCCCCGGCGCCTGAAGAGGCACCTGCAGCAGCCAGGCCCTTAGCCTTGTTCATGCCCTTTTTGATTCCCTTGTCCTTCCGCGCCTTGGTGGCCTTGCTCCCTTTAGGCCTACCTCTCGGTCGCTTCACCGACTCCTTGGTCTCAGGGGCTGTGGCATCGGCCGTCCCTTCATTGAGCTGCGCATAGGATTTTGCTGGACTAATGGCTGAGGATGGTGCGTTTTCGATATGTGGGAATATCTCGGAGATCCATCCGACGAACAGGCGACCGGAGCCGTTCCTGTCGGCGCTTTCGGGAAAGTTACCGTCCGGAGGCGCAGGGGCCCCCGGGATCCCCCCAAAGTAGGCCAGTGCCTTACAGATCTGATCGACGACAGAGACGGGGTTGAGACTCCGGAGAAGCGTCAACAGGCGAGCCTGTTCTTCCTTGGTCTGGTTAGGATCCAAAATGGCGGTCCGGGGGCTATTCGCTACAGTCGGGCTCGTGGGGAGATGGGGGAAGCGCCTGCGGGAGAGCGGTATATATCCCGCTTGCTGGGCCATCTTGGCCGCTCGCTCGGTTCGTTCGCTGGTTCGCTTGGCGATTTCGTCCCTGGCCTTTGCCTCAGCCGTGTTGATATCGATGTGCATGACACCAAAGCTGCCTCCATGGGGGTCCGCCCTCCCGCGCAGGTTACTCGGCACCGGATTCCTAACACGGCCATCCCTGTATGGGTTGGGATAGAAGCCAGACGTGCCGGGCACGGGGGATTCAGAGCCAAAGTGGACATCGCTGGGCGTGTGCTGTGGGAGCTCGGTCCGGGGCTGCATCTGTGTCATCTGTTGTTGCGATTGCTGCAACTGCTGCGTCTGGGGCTGCGGCGCAAACTGCTGGGTCGCGTGCTGCTGAGAGGGATCTGAGGTTTGGGGCGGTCCCGGCTGGGTGGCCGGCGCGAGTGGTAGTGCAGTCGCGGTCTTTCGTTGTCTCTTGGGAGATGTTGACATGGCGGCGGTCAGGTCGACTGTAGAATCACCTATAAAGACGCCCGTGCCGGCACCCCTGGCCCCGAGGGGTTCAAGGGCAGCGGCATATCAAGGGCTGCGGTCAGCAAGGCGCCCAGATGGGTTACCTAGATGCGTGGGGAAGTAAGCGGGCGAACGGACCAGGAATCGGGTCCATGGCAGGCGGTCGGGAGCGGCAGCTGCGATGGTTTGCAGACGGGACAGAGGCGGTGTCTCGTGCACAGCGGTCGATTGCCTCGTCGAGTGGATTTCTCGCCAGCGCCCGACCGGACCGTGTTGCCGCTGCTCAAGTGGCGCGGCGCGGCAATCTCAGCTGGGGATGGTCGGTCTCGGTAGCTCGGTGGGAGAATCGCGTCGAGCACAGGGGAGGATCGCCGATCACGGGGCTGCGGTCGCGCGCAGACGCATATTTTTTCGGGCAAGCCTTGTTTCGGGGTTTCGGGGTCGCAGGGCTCAGTCGACAGCGACAGCGGAACGCGTGAAGGACGGCCAGGTTGGCAGAATGGAATGGAATCGCACGTCGGCCGGATCAAGGACGGCGGGATGGGGTTGTTGGCAGAGCTGGAGGTCTGCAGTCATGGATCAGGTGGTCGCACCGAACGCGCCCACACACGACAGGGCCCAACCAGCCCGGCGGCGGCAGCAATGGGGAAAAAATCAGCCGGACCAGAATTCACAAAGCCCACGGCGGGATAGAGCAGGCGCTGTCGGCACCGTCAAGCGTGCTTCGTCGTCGTCGAGGATGCAAGCATTCGAGGGTTGGTGCGAGCTGCGGGTAGGAATCAAACTCGGACAGCAAAAGGCTGGTTGGCCGTCGGGTGTAGTGGTGGGAGTGGTGGTGGTGGTGGTGGTGGTGGCCCGAGCCGGCTTGTGCAACGGCGTCGCGAAATGAAAGGAAAACAGTGCCCGCCCAATCCAGGCCCCGACTTTTTTTTTGTCTTGTCCGTCTCTTTGCTCGGTTTGCGGTGTCGCTTGCGAGATCCCTCTTCAGCCAGTGCAAGTCGTCAATTACGGACGACTTCGATGCGATCTCTGATGTAAAATGGCAAACGGCAATTTTTTTTTCTCTCTTTTTCCTCTCCTGCCTAAAATTCCAGAAGGCGGGAGGTGGCCGGTGCGGGCCCACGCGGCATGCGAGGAAGTGAGGTGGTCGGTCCTGGGCTGTTCCAGCTTGGGTTGCACGATACGTTCCAACAGAGCGAAAGAGAAAAAAAGAAAAAAAAGGGAGGTGAGGACCTCCGGCAGGTCGACGTAGGCCCGCCACGCCACTGCTTCAGCCGCCATGTGAGAGCTCGAAGCCCAGTGCCAGGTACCGCAGCGGAGCCTGATGATACGCTGGCGAAACCTGGCCTGACCACCGCGCTGAGCGCGAGCCAGAGGTCGCTCCAATGTACTGCGCTCATGCCCACACCCTCTGCCGCCTAGTACCTACCTGTGCGGTTCCGTTTGGAGACGCTAGCCTCTTTCTCGAGGCTAAATTGAGCATCCCCTTCGCCATCGTCAACCACCAGCTCCAGCACGTCCAGCAGGCCAGGCACCGTGGATGCCAACCACAAGTACCGTGCGGGTAACGCAAAAGGAGGACCCAGAAGGACCTAGGAAAACTTGCTAGCAACGACGGGAAAGCAGGGCGTATATATCTGGTGACTCGGCTGTTGGCAGGCGCGAGTGGGGTTTCTTGGTTACTGGCTATCCTACCGGGCCGGATACGCGCAATGAGATATAACGTGCAAGATTGTTAGCTGTTGGCTTCCAATGCTCACTCGCCGCATTGTTCCGGATCCTGTAAACGCTAAACACCACCACTTCCTAGTTGTCTCGGGTGTCGAACAAGGCAAATGCGCCGTTCGATATTTGACTTCCTGTCACTGACGTTTTCAAACATTCAACAGCGGTTCCTTCAGCAGAGTCCCAATTAAGAAACACATCGACTCCAGGTCAATCCCTTATCACTGCCGCCACCCGCCACTGAGGTTTCCATGGAGGCCTGGCATAGACTACTGGTGGATATCAGCTCCAACCCGCTCTTCCAAGGCGACACGGCTATCGATATCTCTGGGATCGCCAGGATATCAGGTCTCCCAACCGGTTGCCGATTAGATGGCAAATGTTCTCAATTCGCCAGCTTGATTCCATTCTTGGAGGTTATATGTAATTACGAGGAGCTGTCTGTAGATAGGTATTCCAAGATTGTCTGGCATGCCTACCAGGGTGGAGCACGCTGTGCGGCACACAGTATAGCTCAAGCTCGTCAGCAGCCACAACGAGCTACATCCGACCCGACCTCTGCTTCCGGCACGCCGCCGGCACCTCCAACCTCCGCTCGAAGCCCACCCCCCACGACCGTGGCCCCTCCCATCGCCGCCATCCGAGCCCGGTAAACCCGCTGCGGAATGCAGTGAGCCTCCGCCGCCATGCCGACGCCGACGACCTATGCCCTGGTGTCCCTGCCGCTGAGGACCTTTGACACGGACGACGCCCTCGCCTCCCTGCGCACCATCATAAACCCCGACAACGGCGCCGTCCTCCCCTTCACAATACCCGAGTTCAAGATCGGAACCCTCGACGCCCTCGTCCAGTACGCCGACGACCTGGCAAAGCTCGAGGCCGCCTGCCAGGGCGTTGTCTCGCGTGTCGCCGACGCGCTCAAGTCTCTGGTCGGCCCCGACGAGGACAAGATCGCCCAGCAGAAGACGGTCAATGACAGTCAGTAGCTCCCACCCTCACGCATGCGCCCGCTCCCGCATGCTCCCC